CATGGAGCCCAGGAGGAATTGGCTTCTCAGAGACACCGAGGACTCCTGACTCCCCGCCGTGGACTAGCCCATGGCTTATTTTGGGTTTATTTTGGTCTTCTTTGAGCCTGCTGGACATTATTTTAGTTTTCAGTGTGCACATTTTCCATTTCTTTATCAGTTTCATCCATAGATTTTGATAATTTTGGTATTTTTATAAATATTTTTAGGTTGTCAGTTTCTAAACATTCCTTTCCAGCATGTAGATGTAACAACTGTTGTTATTTTTGAATTTCCATGTTCTATTCTGCGAACTGGCTAAACTCATGTATGAATTTAACATGTGTAGATTCTACAGGGTTTTGCTGTTTGTTTTGTGACAGGGTCTTACATTCCCTGGCCGTTGGGGAACTCACCCGTCAGGCTGGCCCTGAACACTCAACCTTCCTCCTGCTTCCCCCTCCTAAGCGCTGAGATCACAGTGTAAGCCACCTCTTCTTTTGAAACGTTAAACAGCGATTGCTTGAGCACAGAGAAGAGTTTGTACAGCTGAGGCAAAGCTGTAGGTAATTCATCTTCCCTGGGATGGGGGAGGACTCAAGTGGTACTAGGTGGATGGATGGGTTCATCTCTTTATCATTCAGGACTATTCTGGACTTCATGCTCTCATCCTAATGGTAGGAGTTCCTCCAACCCAGGCATGCCTCTTTCTTTTGTTTTTGAGACCCAGTCTCACTCCATAGCTCTGGCTGCCCTTGAACTTTTGATCTTCCTGTCTTTGCCTCCTGAATGTTGGGTCTACAGGCAGACACCACCGTCATGCCTGGCTGGGCCCAGGTCTCTCTGACTGTACCACAATGCATACGGTGCTATGTCTAGTGAGTCTTTCCAGGTCACAGTGATTGGTGAGGGAGTCGGGGCCCTTCTTAGCCAGTTTATAAACCTGCTCCTTCCTGTCATCAGATGTCAACTTCAGCCAAGTGAAGGCACTACTGTGACAGGGCAAGACCATGGGCACATGACTGGTGGTGGCAATGGTCAGGCAGGAATCCTCAGGTGGACGATTCCGCTGATGCTAATAGAAGCATTCTTTTGTTGTTGTCATTGGTGGTTATCTGTTTATTCTTTGAGGCAGTGTCTCTCCTTGTAGCACAGGCTGACCTCAAACTCTCGGGGGATCTGCCTGCTTCTGCCTCCTGAGTGCTGGGATTAGGCACACACGTCATCAGGTTCAGGGATGAAGGCATCCTTTGCAGCTTTAGTGTGCTTGATTTCTTTGCCTCTCCCTCCCTTGCCCTCTTTACCTGACTGTAATAAATGCCCCCACTGCTGCCCCTCCCCCCCCAACCCCAGTGCAATGCTGAGCAGACCCAGTGGGTGGACATCCTTCCTTCCTTCCCAGCAGGGGGCATTCAGTTTTTTTCAGCCTCAGGTGTGACTTTGGCTGTGGTTTATAGGTCAAGTTGAACTTAGTTCTCAGTTCTCTGACTTTTTAAATTTTTGTTGCCAAGAATGAATGCTGAATTTTGTCCCATGGTGACTCCTGGATGGCTTGATTGCATCTGAGATATCTTACACTTTTTCTTTTGAAATTTGTTAAAGTGGTATAATACACATGGGGTGTATTCTTAGTGTAAAAACCAACCTTTCGTTCCTCGGATGAAGCCCGCTTGGCTATGGTTTACTTTTTTGTTGGTATGTTGTTAGAGACTCCGTCTGTGTTCAGGAGGTTACTGGTCTGTACTCTTCCTTTGTAGTGCTGTTATCAGCTTTGGTATCAGAATGGATATAACTCCAGAGGACAAATTCAGCATTTCCTCACATAATGTCATGTAGGAACTCCTGTACATCCTCCTTCTGGCCAGAATGGTGTTCCCTCAAAATTCACATGGCAAAGCCTCTTGAGCACTTTAGGCCAGTGTGTCAGAATGTATCTGTATTTGCAAAGAGTACTTTTAAAGGGGTGATTAAATTAAAGTGAGTGGCCCCGGACCCACTTGATTGTCCATAAACACAAACGTCATAAATTCACCCCCACAGTGTCCCTTTGCATCCATCTTCGGGAACAGCTTAGGTTTGAATCTGGGGTTGCTCTCCTACAAGTGGAATTTCTGGGTGGACCAGTTTATTATTCACTATTGAGCACTTGGAGCTTGGAAGAAGAAAGTGGGAGTGGAGGAGCCCGCCCCTCCCCGGGGAGGATCCGGCCTGTCTGAACACCTACCTAACTTGCACCTCCACTAGAATTTTAGGGGACAAAGTAGCTTCCTGGGGTCCCAGGTCTTGGCTTCAGCCTAAATGCAGGTGCCCCCCAACTCCTGCAGCCTGGAGGCTGTACCTTTTTTTTTTTTTTTGTAGTTCAGTGATCTTCCCGAAAGGTGGATGCAAATGTGTAGGCAGAACTAGAACCCAGCTCCCTGCAGACATCCAGAGCAACAGCAGCCTTGCCGGGGCCGGTCTGAGACTGGAGAGCAAGCTCTTGTCACACCCTGGAGCTCATGGAGAAAATGAGGGCCCCTGCTCTCCAGGGTCCCCAGTCTGTGTCAAGATCCACCAGCCAAAACATACATGTACCCACAAGGGAACGCACATCCAAGTGCAAATTAGAGCCTTCCCGTGTGTGTGGGCCTGTGACTGGAGGCTGTGAGGAACTTCCTGAGCACCCAGACAGGAAACTGGGCAGAAGTGGGGGGAGGAAATGGCTGAGGGACAATGCATGACACCTGAGATAGGCCCATTGGCTGGGGACAGCCAGAAGAGGGGAAGAGAAGCTGGGGGGAGGAGGGGGGACAGAAAGGGATTGGGAGGGGGGTACACCCCTTTCAGACCCTTGTCAACAGGACCGGAAACACTGGAGGAGGAGATACACGCATGAGGGAATAATTGGAAGTTCCAGAGTCCAACAGGACTCTTTTCCCTCACCCCAACCCCCACACCCCATCCCTATTCACCCCAGGCACGTGTCACAGTCCAATCTTTGAAACCGGGCCCTGTGTGTGCTTCGTAGCACAAGCAGTTGACACTGGTGGTCACAGTCCTTATTCCTGGGAGGAGGCCTTGGTACCCTGACTTCACAGCTGAGGGGGCACAGAGCAGGGAAGGAAGCCCACTGCCAAGGTCTCAGCCAGGAGACGGTAGGTTGGTGCTGCTCAGTCTGCTCAGGCAGCGTCCAGAGCTCAGTCCCTTCCTTCTCTCCTGACCCCACACAATGGGACAGTAATGACAAGGCCAGCCACGCACACCCCACTCCCTAAAACCAGGCAACTGATGCCACCACCCAGACTCACCACCACCCTGGTACCGCTCACTCGGGGCACCAATGGTGATTTTCAAAGACATTTTTTGGGGGGGAATGTAACTATTTAGGAGTGAGGTAAGAGAGCTGTTGCTGGGGCCTGGGGTGTATTAGATGGCTGCACTGAGTGTGGTCTCTGCCCACAAGGACAGGTTAAAAAGAACCCTGAGAGGCCTTGGTCTTGACACCGCAGGTGAGGTGGGGGGGGGGGCGGTCGGTCAGAGGCCTGTGCTTGAGCCCCTCCCCCACCCTAGCTCTCAGTCTGGGGGAGGTGGCCACCAACATGCTTATGGTGAGGGGGATTCTGTTCATCTGGACAGCGGACAGGTGTGTGTCCACACAAAGCCCCCTCACCAGCAAGAGCCTTCTTCACTGGGCTGGCTCCTCACAACTCTCTCCTCAAGTGGGCTTTGATGTTTGGGATTCTTTGTGGGTCTCTGCAGGGTCCACTTTTAGCTACAGTCTTGTTACAAAGGTTCAGCTGGGATCTCTGTCGTCCCTCTCCGACATCTCCCTGGGGTAATGCCTGGTCACCCCACAGTTTTGGAAAAAGTTGTCCACTCTGCCCCTGCTGGGTCCTCTTGATTTTGTATTCACTCACACTTGTCTTTGCCTTGTTTTACGAGTGCGTAAAACACTCTTCGAAGTGTTTTAAAAAAAACTTCTTCGAAAATATTTTTTAATTTTTAAAATATCTTATTCTTTTATTTTGTATGTATGTACCCGAGTGCATGTATGTCTACTACATGCAAAGGTCAGAAGAGGCACTGGATCCCCAGGACCTGGAGTTACACATGGTTGTGAGCCACCATGTGGGTGCTGGGAATTGAACCTGGGTCCTCTGCAAGGGTGGTAAGTGCCATCTCTCTAGCCTCAGTTTATTTTTATTTTATGTGTATGAATGCTTTGCCTGCATGTATGTGCCTGTACCACTCTCATGCCTGGTACCTGAAGAAGCAGAATAAGGTGCCAGACCCCATGAAACTGGAGTTATGGGCAGTTGTGAGCTGTGAGTTAAGTGCTGGGAACGGAACCCAGGTCCTCTGTAAGAGCATCAAGTGCTCTTAACTACTGAGGCAACTCTCTGGCCCTTTCTCTCTCTCCCCTCCTCCTCTTTTTCCTCCTCCTCCTCCTCCTCCTCCTCC